GTTAAATCAACCGCCCAACCAGGGTTTGAACTCTCGACTTTCCGACTGTGAGCCGCCCGCTCTACCGCCAAGCAGTGTTGGCCAGAAATCCTCCTTAAAATATTTCTGATTTGACCGGAACAAAACAACAGATTCCACCCCCACCCCCCCCCCCCCCCACGTCGCATAATAAAAAGAAAGAATATAAATGGAGGCAGCATCAAAGCCGACTGTAATCTGTTCTATGGCCAGCGGTCCTGTGACAACATTCGGCGTCCTTGCGTGCGTGCGTGCGTTGCGTGCGTGCCCTTTAAACGCGGCGCAGATGTAAACCGTTGCCGATCTCGCAGCGGTGCTGCTGCTGCTGCTGCTCCTCCTGTTCCGTTCCTAAGCCTGCACGCCCCATTGCTGTGATGGTAGTATTTAAAAACATCGAGGAGTTAATGGGAGATGAATTGGCTTTTTTGGTAGACTCATTAGGAGCGAGCGAGGGGGGGGGGGGGGCCTGCAAGAAGGCACACGCAGCAGCAATCAGTTCAGCTCATTGCTCCGTGCCCGCGGGCTACACTCAGCACTGCGGTTAGGTCCTAATGAGAGACCCGGGCACATTCCCCCGTTCCGGCGCTTGATTTGTTGATCAACAACATTTTCCCGGTGTTTTGATGTGTCTCCACCACCAAGTGTTCCCCGCACTGCGTTAAACTTTAGGCGGTTTATTTAGGGCCCTCGTTATGCATTTATTTCATCGCCGCATCCCGCACCCCTTGACGTTTGTAAACACGTCCCCCCATAAATGTGGCGATTCACGAGGCCCGCGGAGCGATGGCTACGGTCCAGGGCGCTGGAGAAGGAACCGGGGGGGCCCGCTGTTTCCGAACGGCGCGTCGCCGTCGCGTTTTTGGTGAACCGTTTTTAATGGGCGCGGCTTCCGGCCCGCGAAAAAAGGCAAGAAAAGAAAAAAACGGAGAAGAATATTTCGGTGCGTAAAGATGTGAAACCAATAAAAAAAAAGTACGTGGATTAAAAGAAGAAGAGTCGCAAAAAAAAAACAAGGCGTGTGTCTGATCCAAATGAAGGGGTGAGTACCTTCGTGTGAAGGAACAGAAAGAGAAACCCGTGGATTAGTGAACGTACGAAGGTTAATGATGTCATACTGGCTGCTCACAAAGAAGTAAAAGTGCGGCTTGGATGGCCTTCGAGATGGCAATAAGAAGCCGCGGTGGCAATCAAGGAATGAAACGGATCCCGGGGGACGCCTTCTGCGGAGACGCAGCAAACAAAGCGGCTCGCGTGCAGGTGCTGAGATGGTGACAGCTCGGAGAGGTCTTCGTCATCCAGCTGTGGAGTGACCACGGCTGGTGGTGACGATGACAACGGGGGGGGGGGGGTGCCTTTGCGCTCAATTCACACCACCCATGAGTGGAGCGAGGGTAATAGATGTTCACGGTGACGCCAAGGGTGGAATCTGGCAGAGGGGACCATATGGGAAAGCTGTCCTCCCAGCCTGCTCCTCCTGCGGCCGCCACCGCCGCTAAATGTGGGAATCCCAGACAAAGGGGAGACCCCCGCTGCTCCCAACATTTGGGCCCATTGAGCGCCGACTGAATGCGATAAACGCCGTTTTGATCCCGAAGAGCCGGGATGAAACACGGGGAGAAAGTGAGGGTTTAATCCTCGGCAGGAAAAAAAAAAAGCCCTTGAAAGGACCCTGCGGTGTTGTGAGGCCGGGGTACGGCCAGGGGGTAAAGAGGGTCACGAACCCCCGAGCGGCCCGCGGCGGGGCAGGCCACGCTCCTAGGCCCTTCTGGCCCGGCACGGGGGAAGTTTGATCCCGGTGCCCTGAGAAAGATTTTTTATTTTACGCGGCTTTGCAGTTGCTGCTGCGCCGGTTGTAAATGCGGTATGCGGGGCTACTGTGGCGGGGGTGGGGGTGGGAGGGGGGGATTTTGGAGGGGGGGGGCAAACAAAAAAAGTGTAGCTTGTTGAGGTTGTGCGGTACAGCCTGAGCACGCGTTGGGGAGCCAACACAACGCCGCACAACGGTACAACGACCGACAACGCCGTCGTTTTCTCTGTGCCCGCTTGAGTGAATTGAAAACAATTGTCGATGATTACTTTGAGATTCATGACGCCACGTTTCTTTTTTCATCGTTGGTCTATATTAATTACGGCCGTGCTGCGTCCGCACAGTACGCTGCGGCAGAGTGTGATAACCGCGTAAATAATCCGCGTTACGCACGGCGCGCGTAATTGTTTAATAAAATTAAACCGACGATCGCAATGGCGGGGGTCGCGTGCAATTACGTGCAAATTAATTAAACGGCGATGGTTACCGTCGTCTAGCAGCGGTCGGCTCTTGGCGCGTTCCGTGCGTTTTGGCGGCGTTAACAAAACTACCGCTGGACGCGAGCGTACCTCTTCACTTAGTCTGCGCGCGGCGTAACGGGCACGGCGCACGGAATAACTCCGGCTCCGTTTCAGCCACGTTCGATATTGAGTCATTTCCCTTCAAGGCACGACGACAACATCCACAAACTGAGCGACGGAGAGAACCGCGAGAGAGCGAGCGAACGAGCAAGTGATTGATTGACTGAAGGCAAGGAAGGGCAGTGGAAATGGGGTTAATCTGCATGGAGGAATATTCAAACGTGGCCTGACGTTTATGTGTCAAGTGAGCACCGGCTTTTTATAGCGGGGGGGGAGGTGGGCCCGCGGGGGTGAGCGGCCGTCCCTCACCCGCGGTGTCTCTGCTGCGCCGCTGCCGCCCCTAATTGGCACGCGGCCCCCAGGACCCCATGGGCAGAGACTCTGACATTTCCCGTGCCTGTCGCGAGGGAAGCGGTGCGCGGGGGGGTGGTGGGGGGGGAGTTGGAGGAGTGGTGGGGGGGGGGGGCTAGGAGGCGGTGGCGCGGGTTACCGCGTCCACGTTTCCAGGCGGCCGTCAGAAGCCATTAGCCGTCGCGTGGACCTGCCCCGCGGCATTTCCTCGCGGTATCTAAGCCCGGCCTGGAAACCTGGGTCCCCGCGCCCGCGCCTCCGTCTCTAATGAGCCTCCACTGTTGTTGATGGAGGATGAGGAGGCGGCGTTGTGGGCCTCTTGAATTTCTTTTTCTTCCTCCACATTTTCGTTTTTTACCCGCATGTAGCCACGCTAGCTTCAACCGAGGCCTGCGCCCCATCCTCCGGGGCTAAGGTTCGTCCGGGGATAGGTTTGCGCGGTGTGAATTAAAGAATAGTAGAAATGAAAAACCGAACCACCAAGGCATCGCAGACATGATTTACACACTCATGAGTGTGACCAATAGGCAAAATGTTGCTTTGAAATGCGAATGCCAAGAAAATAAATCCTTAAGATTTGGCTAAAATACATTTTCACGTTTTTGATGAGGTGGGTTTGAAAAACACGCAAGTTTTTCGTGCGATAATGTGGCGTGACAGATCCGAGCAGCAGAAGTAACAATATTTGGACGAGTTTTATTTTTCTCGCGTGACTTGATGGCTTATCCTTCGGTTATTCAAAGGATTCTGGGCCGTGTGGTTTGTGCTATTCCCCAGGCTACAGGGCATAAGTATGCAGCAACGCAGTGATTATATGCGTGGGCTTTTCCGTGGCTTTGCGAGTATTGTCCTAATTAACGCCCTATCTTAAATTACAAAATAAAGTTCCAGACAAAAATGACAGCATCGTCTGCGCGGTCCCAAAGGCAGATCCATTTTAACTTTCATGTCGAAACCATATACTTTCATCATAACAGCCTTTTGTGCCCCCTTCCTCATAAAGTTTCAGCCTGTCACATGGCTAGGGCTGCTTTTATCTTTAAAGCAGGAAAAAAATACCCCGAGCTGTTAAATATTAATTCTGTGATGCTATTTATCCTAAATGGATAGCGGAGCATGCTTGGCGACTGTGGGCTGGGGGTTAAAGTTATGGGAGCGCCAGCCTGGGCCCATTCCCTTCCCTGGAGGGTGGAGTTTGCTCCATAATTTAGAAGGCCCGAAGGCAGTCACTTTCAAGGCTTGGCTTTGCCCCGGGGCTAGGGGAGGCAAGTTGCTGCCGCCGGGGGCAGGCCTTGACGCCCATCTCCTCCGCTAATGCACCTCTCACTCGGGCGGGCACAACGCACGGCGTTCCGTTCGCACGCCGTTCCAGGCGGGGGTGTCCGCTGTAGCCCCCCACCCCCCACCCCCGTGAGGATCGCGCCAAACGAAAGGAACGAGAGAGATGGGCGGTGGTGGCGGCGGCAAGATGCAAGGCGGCGCTTTGATTGGGCCCCCCCCCCCGCCCCCCGCTATCTCTCGCCACCAACCGGGCGGCTGTTGCCGGCGTTGAGGAGCCGCCGCCGTGATTGCGGCGTGAGCGGAGGATGTTTAATTGGCAGGTGAAACTTTGTGCGGTGGGGTTTTTTTTTTCTAATTGTAAGCTTCGGTAGCGTGGTCGGGGTTCGCAGCCCAACCCCCCCCCCCCCCCCACGTGACGTGAAGCCGGGCGAGCCGAGTTTGATTGGTGGCCACGGCTAACATTGGTGGCAAGTGACGGCTTGAAGTTCTCGCTGGGTTCTGCACGTCCGCCAACCCCAACACTGACCGGGGTGGCGAAGTACGGTCAAATAACCCCTCCCTCCCGCCGGTGAACAACGGCAGCATGAGATGGGCATTCATCGATCGATGAAATGACAAAGGGCTAATTATTACTGTGAAACACACAACCTTTTTAAAACCTTGTCACTTTATCAAATGACCGCCTTTATCTTAATCACAAACCCTAACGAATGCAAATGAATTTGGTCGCCGCAACGTTTTTTTTCTTCGCACACTTGAGCCCGCCGCACAGCGACTAGCCTGGCGGCCCGACTTCCGTTCCCGTCCACGGCCTATGTCAGCGGCGAGTCGCGTATCAACCGGTCCAAGAGCTGTAAATAATTCTATAATCATTGTTGCTACTTACCGGTGTCCACCGGGGCTCACCTTGACACCTTTATTTTTATCAATTGTTCCCCCCCCCCCCCCCGGCCCCGTGGCAGGCGACGGCATGGACAACAGCGTGGCGTCGGAAGGGACGGGCGACGACGACGACCTGGACAAGGACAAAAAGAGGCAGAAGAAGCGGGGGATCTTCCCCAAGGTGGCCACCAACATCATGCGGGCCTGGCTCTTCCAGCACCTGACGGTGAGTGCCCCGCGTGGTTCTGCGTCGACTCGTCGGTGAAATCGATTTTTGTCGATTAAAAAAAAGATGTGATCGACAACATATTTTGTTCCTGTTGCGGGGTGGTTGATTACTCGGGCCCCTTTAAAAATGTTTGTTGTCCTTCAACCTTCTACATCTCCTATTAGCACAGCGGTGCCACGGTGGCGAGATGTTAATTAGCTCCCCTGGTATACAGGAGGCAGTGGGTTCGATCCCGACCCTGGCGCCTGTATATTTGGAGTTTGCGTGTCTTTCTGGACCGTGGTCATGTGGATCTTTCTCCGGCTCCTACGGGTTTTCCCTCCACATTTAGAATCAACGTGCATTTAGGATATTTGGATGTTTTACAGTTCCACGTGATAATAAGCCACTTCGTTGAGTTACCGTTTGTGGCCAGGTCGCTCATGAAAAAGAGCTATAAAGCTCGGTGGGCCTGACCTGGATAAATAAAAAGTTTTGTTTTCATAGTTTGTTGTTTAGCACAATGGCTACGTACCATGTGCGGAAGAAGTTCAACGTACATTGAGGGGGGTCCCACCTTCGGTGGGACCCCCCTCCCCCCCCCCCAAAGGCACGCCCGGTTATGACGCGCCTGATGATGACGATGACAATGATGACCTCACCGAGCCTGGAGCGACAGGGGGGTCTACAGACTAGTACTTGGAGCTTGCTAACCGGTGCCCCTCTGAGCGGTGGGCCTCGGTGCGCGAATCAGGAGTACAGAACACGGAGATGGTGCTGTTATTGCAGGTTGATGTGATTGAAAAATGCTCTTGCTGTGGCAAGAACAACAAACAACAAGAAAATCACACACACACGTGTGTGCACGCTCATTTTGTAAATGATAATAACGGCCTTTATTTACGCAGCCCATCGTCATAATAACTACATGGTCAATAGAATGAGAGCTACAGGAATGTGGCATTTCCACCAATGGTTTGGTGCTGCCATCATCAGAACAATAATCATGTGAGCACCTATGAAGACTGATATGACACACGAATGGAGTGGCGTGGATAGTACCGCTCGACCACCTTTGTCTCTCCAGTGGCGCAGCTCGGAAGCTGCGTCACTGCCCCGAGTGACAACAGAGGGCCCACGGTAGCTGGGCTCTCCAAAAAAAAGGCAACATTTCTGCAGCATCAAAATAATTCTGGAATGTATGCCGTGTCACTCGAGATATATATATCCACGTGTCTACCTATTTTAATGCATTTATGAGTGTAAAGTTGTTATTTAAACAAAAAAACATTGCCAATGTGTAGATTAACATTTGACGGTGAAAACGCACGTACACACACAGGCACGCTTGTGCACATTTAGACGCCAGCGTGCATGCTAAGTGATTTCCACTTACATAATAAACACAGGATGAAGAGAAGAATTGGACCTATTATCCCTAAACGAATGCCTCGCTCTCCAATTGAGTTTGGAAGTCTTGAGATGGAGAGCTCGGCTGAGATGGCTGGAGACACTCAATCCTGTATCAATCGGGGAAAAGGGCTTCGGTGTAATCAAGTGCTGTTGTGTCTGTGGAATGGGTAGAGGGTTTGAGAGGGAGGGCAGGGGGTGTGGGGGGCAGTGGGGTGCAGTGTGGGGAGGGAAGGGCTCCGTGATTTACGGGGGTGATAAAAGAGGCACTTCAGGGCTCGCGCCGTGTGATATTAGATCACTCCGCGTGCTCCAAGATGATACGTGCGGCCTCCGTGTGGTGGCCACAATTTCACGGGAAAGGAGGGACGCTCTGCTTGTTCTCTGCTGCTGTTGCTAATAATTATCAATATTATTTTTTAAATATCTTGAATTATCCAGGGTTGATTGTGGAATGTAGCAAACTTTCATTTTGTTAGCCTACCCATTCATCCAGCAGTGGATTGATCATGGCTTGATGATGATGAGTTCATTGCAGCGACAAATTGTTTGGTAAATCGTGCGGAGAATGTGAAAATAATCGTTTGAAAAATGTGATTGGATATTGTTTTGATGTCGTACACTGGCAGTAGACATGTGCACGCACCGGGGTGTTTTTCCAATTTGTGTAGGATACAAAAAAATGTTGGATATTTATCTCTGTGACATGTTTACAAACACGTTTACAACTGTGTGTACAAAGACCAAATCAGGAAGCAGTTGTGCACAAGAAACACAAAATGCCGTTTTTTCTGACTGCGTACACGCTATGATCTTAAGCTTATCTTACGATGCCTTGAAGAAATTAGTACGTGAGAAAAAAAATCCTGCTAGAAATCCAGAAAACAATTCACCACGTGCAGTGAAATAAGAAATATAAGGTTCGACATTTGTGATAAAAAAAATGCAAGATAGCATATATATAATCATTGCAAAACATATTTAATTAAGAGCAATTTAATAGCTTTTGTGCCACCCGTTTTGGCATGCCTCTACATTTAATCCCACCAAGAAGTGTATAGCTTGGCAAGACGGAGAGAAAATAATGAGTTCTGAACAAATACTTGACTAATTTAAAGGGCTGTAAATCCATTACAAGCTAATTGGGCAGTCGCCTGCGCTAAATCACTTTATCTATATTGAGGGGCAGTCAAGCCTTCAGAGCTGAGTCAGACTGTGAAATGTGCTGATTATTCTCTTCATTAGCAAAATTGCTCTGCGAGTGGCGCTCCCCACGTCAGCTCAGCTGGGAATCCGAAAGGGGCTTGCCAAGTCATTAAACTCGGGATTGTGTGCCACGTCCAGACGCTCTTTAAAAAAATAATAACCCCCCCCCCACGTCCTCTTCACTCCGCGTTACGTCACCCAAAGCGCCAAATATCCCAACGGCAACGGAGAGACCGCTGTCTTTTCCGACCACTCCACACGAGCAGCATCGTCGTCATCATCAATCGGCTAGGGCCTCCCTGAATCCGCCGCCACCTTTAGCGACCCGGCGATGTTGAGGGTCTGGCGCGACGATTCGAGCGTTTATGCTCACCGCCGATGCCAGGTGGTGACAGAAACTTGCGCGAAAACACAGAAATCGGAAAACGGGGTGAAGAATGTTGCCTGCTGCGTCAGCGCGGAGACATTTTAATTGGATGCGTCATTTGCCAGATTGTGTCCCAGTAGTTAAACACGCTCAATTGCTGTTTTTTTTTCTCCCCATTTCACGAGCTTGGCACGGCCGGGCACCGTTACGAGCCTGCCGTTGCATTTATCGCCGTTTAAAGATGCCCTGGTTTCACGACCGCCGGCTCTCCTGCCCCACAATTGCACCTGCGAGTGCCGGACGCGCCCGGCTCTCGAATTCCGTTCGTTTGCCCGCGCGTCGCGATGGGACGTGGGGGGATGGCATTTGTAGGCTGATCTGTTCCCAGGGTGGGAGGAGGAAGGGGCAGGGGGGAGGGGGGGCCAGGGGGAGACACAACAGCAAGTCTCCATATTTGGAACTTGTTGTAATCCTCCTCCCACCCTGTTCTTTTCCGACTGCATCAGAGCCCTTGAGTGGGCCCTAAAGTGTCCACGCGAAACAACACATTTCCCCCTTGGTTTCCGACTCGCTTTTCCATTCTTGCATCTTTCTTGCCGATCAAAGCCGCCAAGATGAGAGGCGGTGGGGGGGGGGGTGTGCGGGAAGCAGCAGCGATGGGAGACCCCACGCGAGTTCACGTCGTTGCGAGCTCATCGAACGAGCCGGCCACATGCTTCATTTGACCTGGCACATCCCGGGCAGAGGCTCACGGAGTCAAAACAAAATAGTTTACGAGGGGTGAAGCTGTCAGTGTGCAGATAGGAGCGATGCCAATGGCACAGATATACAAGGCACAGATTAGGTCCGTGAGCCCGCTCATCCTGGAATAGAACGCACGGCAGTCATAATATACTTATATCAATGTGTAGCAACAAACAACATTGTGTGTGCGTGTGATTAATGCGCTGGCCTCTGGTATTCAAATGGGCACCAACTGGGAGCATAGACTAGCGCTTGTGAGAGGAGATGACCTCACTAACACAATTAAAAGCGGGGGATTGATTTCTATCTCAGATATTTGTCGAGGTCACTGGTTCGTTTTGGAGTAGGTGGTGCGTGACTAGCGGTCACAGCGATCGCGAGAGGTATGCTAGATGCGGTGTGCCGGGTGCGGATATAGTTTTCGAGTCGCTGATCCGAACGGACCAGACTGAAGTTACTCCCTCGTGACGGCAGCAGTTAGATTGTTTTTTTTGTTTATTAGTTTCCGTGCTCTCCCCGTGGGCGCGTGCATTTTTCTCCGGGATCTCCAGTTTTTCCCTCGCCATTTATAAACGTGCGTTTGGAGTATTTGGCTGCTATACATTTCCGCGCGATAAGCCACTTCGTTAAGATGTCATTTGTGGCCAGGTCCCTTTTGAAAAAGAGCTACTTAGCTCAGTGGGCCTTACCTGGTAAAATAGAATTATTTGTTTCTCGTTTAGTGTATCGTTTAAAGTCAGGCTTAGAAATGTGTGCGCACTTTTGTCACGAGGTTTTGCTCTTGCTTTACCAACAAGGGTGAGAATTGACGAAAAAAAATCACGCGTTGCCTTTTCTCTCTCTCTGCTGCACAAAAAAGTGGTGTGTTCCAGAGCTAATGACAACTGTGTGTGCATGCGCGCGTCCTCGTAGTGACTTTGCAGGTGTAAGCAGCAATCGTGGGGCTGTTTCAATTTTCCACGGGGGGATTTTTTTTTCTCCCGATGCCCCAGGGATGTTGGCAGCGCAACGCATCGGTTAATCACTTCAATCGCAAATGAGAACCGAATGCCGCCGGAAGATAATTTGAACCAAGCAAGATAGCCTATTAATGAAAGCACACATTTATTCCTTTGCGCATTCAAGCAACCTTTTTATTAATGTTTTTTTTTTCCCCATTTGAATATCAGCTGCCCTGGTGTAATGGTTAGCAGCACTGGACTTCTGGACAATCCGTAGGTCACCGGTTCGATCTCCCGGCGCGCGGCGGATTGAAACGACAGAGCGAGTTTCTTAAAATCTCCCTGCACCC